GCCAAAATCTACATGTAAATACTCTACAACAGTCAATTGACTTATAACCGCTATCAAAAGAATAGACCACGCAAGGATGACAGAGATATTTTTCGATAAAGTTACGAATACGTCCTCACCGACGACTTTGAAAGTTTGAGGCTAAAACTTTCAAACTTTTTCGTGACCGCACGCGCATGCGCGAACGTGACGTAGCCCCTTTAAGTTCTAGGGTTACAAAGTTCTCTTACTTGTAGTGCTTCATATGTAAAGTAACCCTGGGGCTGAAACGCAATCTTTATAGCTAGATCACGTAACAAGCCCAAAGAGCGTTGCGACGTGGCACTAGTTTCTGAAATAAGCTTCATACATACATGTACTTCGAACTAAATTTGTTCAAAGGAAAACGCCCCAGAAAACTTGAATACAAGAGCTGTTCCGAACAGAAAGCGAGTTAACTGCACCGAATGATATAAGGCGAATAATAATAAACAGATCACCGATATGAAAATCGTGTCCATGCACAAACATATTTACTTACGTATTTTCTCGGCAGTGCATTGGATAATTTCAGTATCAGGAATAACCACTTTAAATTCCTCGTACATGTTCTGATGTGGTTCGCTGGCAATCACTTTGATATCTTTGAACTCTTTTAGCTCCAAGACTTTTAACATCACCCGAGTAAACTTTCCCGTGCCACAGCCGACTTCTAAAATTTTGAAAGGACGATCCCGGGTTACGATCTCTTTCACGCCAAGATTATTCAAAAAGAACTCCACGGCCTCCAAAGGATAATCTTGCCGAGTATTCTCGTAGCGAGAAGCTTCAACGAAGGCTCGTTGTACGACATCGTGAAGGATTTGATTCTGTTGAGACATTGTTCCGAAGGCAGGTCATGAAGTGCAGTGAAGCGACACTACGATGATCAGTTCAGAAGGGCGGAACGAAAGTTGGGTCAACAGGTTTTACTGTGAAAATTAAAAAGCCGCGAACGCTTTGATTTGATTTTGACATGTCAATTGTGTAGTCACCAATCAGATGCAAGATAAAAGCGCAAAGAAAACAAACAAATCAACGGCCATCATGATGCATGATGGCCATGGCCATCAGCTACGAAATCACGGATCGGTACAAAACGTGGACCTCTCAATCTGGACCCCCTAGTGGATCCCTTTTTGGACTCCTTCTGAACCCCATCTGGACCCCTCCTGGACCCGTATCTAGACCCCATCTGCCTTCTGGACGGGTGTCTGGAAAACCCGAATAGCGAATAGCGAATAGTCGCGAATAGCGAACAGCGAATAGTCCCGAATAGCGAATAGCGAATAGTACGAACAGTGCGAATGGTGGCGAATAGTGGTAAATAGTGGCAAATAGTAACAAATAGGGTACCCAGTATCTCGCAGTCAACCTCGAAGCAACTTAGGATGTGATTTTTCCGCTAAAAAGCACAGACGCTTATCAGGACAGAAGGTGCTTCTAAACGTAAATTCTTCTGTTTTAACCGCTGAAAAAGCGTAAATACGTCTTTATTAGGTTATCCTTGTGCTTTCTGTTTTCTTAATGTCAGCGATGGACAGCCCTCGCCTGAGTCCGGGAAAGAAAAGGTAATAAATGATCATAAATTCACTGAAATTCTGTTGCTTATTTGGATAATTAAATAACGCTGGATATTAGATCTAAAGCGGTGACTATTGACGACTATTCGTCACTATTCG